ATTCCAGATGTCTGAGGAATCAGGTGCAACCAACAAGCGAAAGAAGGGCCGGAGGATTAGATACGCATTAGATAGCAATACATCTGGAAAAACTTTGAGAGTTCCTTCGGTGGGCGCTGTTTCACTAACGAACAAAGCCCTGTTAGGGTGTCAAATACTCGCAATACTAGAAGTATACAAACCTCATAGCAAGCCAGCCTTGGAAGGATCGGAAGATAGAAGACTGTGAGAAGATATAAGCCAGGATGTCCGGAAGATTTCTTGACGGATAAATATACCTGCTCCGGTCTGTGGCATAGAGAAGTCTGCGCGCCTACACGGCCCGCAAGAAGGAATGGATCGTGCTTGCCGCCATTGTCCACTGAGTATATCAGCAAAACAGGACCTGAAGGTCGGATCCTCCCAGCGTTCAAGAGTACCGCCTTTATTTTATTCAGAACTTTGCATGACACAGTTTGAAGAGACATACCATCGACGTGAGGCGGGTGAGCAGTCCAACCGCGCCCGGGATGTCTGATACGGAACCGATCAGCATAGGTCAGTGGCGAGGATAAATCTACGCCATCTAGCTTCTGTCCCGCTTCGGCATGGTACAGATTGTTCAACCAGGCCGAAGCTGTGAGCATGTTGGGGTGAGCGCGTGCCTCCACCTTGAGATTTCGTCCAGCTGTTGAAACGGTTGGTCGGGTACTGTGACAAAGCAAAGACTGGATGATACACTACTAGAGGATCGAAAAACTGTTTATTGCCTTCGGGAAAACCTGGAGACTTGGGTGAGAGTAACCACACAAGCATTACAGACAGGGAAACGTACCATCAGCATCTGGATTGGCGGATACGAAATCTTCGAGTGACTTCCTCCAAGAAATCGCTTGCGCATCATCGACGACATCCTTGATCATAAGGCACCCCTTGCGTCGAATTTCGTCAATCTTATCAGCTGGAAGGCTGTCGAGTTCGGAGAACTGGACTTGGGGAATGAACTGGTGTCTGTGAGCTAGGTAACTAGTCAGCCAATGAATTAACAAACCTCGGGCCCCCCAGCGCTAATCTTCTGAGTTGCCTTCTTAAGTTCAACGAGGATCTCAGCCCATCCTTGTGTGACACGTTCTTCAAAGTCAGGATAAGACGAAGCAATTTCTTTCTTAATATGAATGAGATGCAGAGTTGAAGATGAGTTGGACATGTTTGGAGAGGTGAGATAAAGAACTCATCGCTCCTCGACCCTTTATATAGCCCGTGAGACCTGCAAAAACTGAGCGGATGCATTTATCCGAGGTTTCACCGGACCGCGAAATGGGATGCAGGAGCGACTCCGAGCAAGATTTTGGTCACGAGAAGATATTTCTAGTGCTTTATCGTACCAATGGTAGCCCATGGAACGTAATCGAGGCGTTTGGAATCACCATGGGACGTGTAGCATGACCACCACGAAAGAACTAGCCACCAAATTTGAACTCTGCTTTCCACCAAAGCACGCAATGAGGACCATGCGCAGTTAAAAACAGGCCGAAGTCTCACAATAACGTTTATCACCCTCGTTGGGGTGAGTTCTTGCCGTGGAAGTTGAATTACAAGGGGAGAGGGGAGTGCTGTAGCATCCTGTAGCGTGTCAGACATGAAGCTTGAGTTTCAACCACGTGTAGGTATGACGACAGTAGAGAGAAAGTGTAGAGTGCATTGAGTATACAACAGATGCCATGAGAACTTGCTAGACCTCTGCCCTGCGCACGAAATTGGTGATAGCCGTAGATCGCGACCGTGGAAAGCCAGGCAGATAGGAGTACAGCACCCGTAAGTCAAAGCATCTTGTATACAAAAACAGAAACAACGGCATGCACTGGTAGCCGAGGATAACCGGTTCCAGAGAATGGAGCAGGAAGCAAGTGGTGGTGACTGCCAAAAACGCGCGAGTCACAGATTGTTACATTTATATTACCCTCTCTCCGGTTTTTATTTGTTGTCTTGATGGAATTCGTATTAGTATATAGTACAGGTCCCATGGTACGAAATTTGCGTTGAATGAACTGCGATTGGCGGGATAAATTATACTTGTGACCGACCTATCGGTTTCGCGTTCCGGACATTCTTCGGAAAAATGCAAATACCGTCGCGAACAAAGAATAAAACGGACTACTTCTGACATAATCAGTACCCTAGAATCCGTATCTCCGAGTTGCAAGAGCTCCAAGCGGTCCACATAGCGAGATCTGGGACTGGTTTAGTGATGAGGAACACTATCTGTCCCAGGACTCACCGCGAGCCTGAGGAGAATGAGACTGCGAAGGCTTCTTCGGCCAGCATACTCGGAGCCGGTGCCGCTATTCTTCATGTCATCTGGGGACAGGAAGGAGCACATTACAGCCTGGGTGGCGCGTTCATCTTCCTCGAAAGGTCAAGGATCCAAGAAGCCGCCAAATTACTAGCTATATCGTGTTCCCCCATGCATATGAACTGTAAAGAGATCGATGACGAAATGAGGCTCATTGCCTCCAAAGAGGATATCTATATTACCGCATTTCGTGACCATCCAGACGACTTTGGCGTAGCTCAGATCGTTGCAAATTGTAATGGGGTAAGAAGTCTGATCACTGTTATGTTCTTCTCATATCCTTGAGCCATTAGCCTCTCGACGACGTATCATTACAGCTCTGCCTGGACCTCCGGTAATGGTCCATTTCATGCCTGTTTACATTAAAAAGATTGGCTCGGACGAACGCAAGTTCTGATGGAAGTTAGGCCATCGTCGAGGTATGCTAGTATCTGCTGGAAAGGGTTCTTGCAAGAGGTGGAAAAAGCCTGTCACGACTCTGACGAGTTGCTGACAAGGCTGAAGGAGACGACGATGTCTGGGGAGGATGATGGTGGGATACCATAACCAAATTTGCCGTAGTTGGATAGCCGGATGCCAAATTGAAATTAAACTTGTAACAACAAACTCCCGGGCCGCTTCCTTCTTTATCAATGACCACCTCGCTTATCCACGACCTCCTCACACCCGCCATCGACACCGCCAAAGCCCACCAATACGCCCTCACCCAATACGCCGATGCGCTCTCAGCAGAACTCGATGAGTTCGACAAACTCATTGTGCGTTTCCATTACGTTTTGTCTGGTATCTTTACTCATGGACGTAGAAAGCGGCGGAGCGCGACAAGGAAGATGCGGACGAGGACTTGGGGCTCCAAATCCAGGTCGTAGGTGCGAAGAAGCCTGTCGGTCCCGTCGCGTCGAGTGAACTGGTCAATCCGGTATGCGTTCTGCCATTATACCATGTTGTGTCTCATGTATATTTCAAGTTTTCACCATTCTATGAAGAGTCGATGCGGAGGACGCGGTACCTGGCTTGGACAACTGTACGACCCAGTACGTTTCATTCTGATGGCCCTTTTATCCTCTAACACGGTGACAGTGAAGGCTAAAGAACTTGCGGCACTAGACGAGGGAGTCAAGAACGAGAATACGCGGTTGAAAGCACTGGAAACGAGGGACCGGTGCGTTCTTCCTTGAAAGTTTTCTCCTTATCTGTCTGATGTTTTTAGTGGAGCATCGGATATCGACATCGTTCTCAACACGGAAGGGATTAACTGGGCTATCATTGCTGAAAAAGTTGATTTTTATCCTAACATTCTACGTACTCTAATTAACCTTCAGGTGTCGGACGCGTCTACGGCGAAGTGGACAGCAGATGAGGTACGGTTCAAATGGATGGCCGATAGGCACCCTAAGATCAATCATGATGAGTGGACGGACCAAGAGATCGAACAGCTCAAGAGAATTGCTCAAGAGGCCAAGGTGAACTGGGTGCAAGTCGCAAAGGACCTTGGCGTAAGCAGTCTTACACCTCTCCGTTCCAATCTAACCCTGGCACTCAGACAAACCGCATTCCTCTTGACTGTATGCGCAAAGCCATTCAGCTCCGGCAGCGACCTAAGCACGCGTGGAAGAAACGCATCGACGACCGGCTTGAGGAGGCCGTCCAAAAGTATGGCGTGTCGAATTGGAGTCTAGGTATGCCTGCCTTGTCTGTCGCCTTGCCTGCTAACCCTCGTCAGTTGCCCGATATGTCTCCCACGAGCTCAACGCGGTTCAATGTGAAGCGCGGTACGTTCGGCTGCACCTCGACCGTCGCCCGTGGACGGCAGAAGAAGACGCACGGTTGTACTTGGCAGTGGCAGGGTACGGGCAAAGCTGGGTGGACTGTAGCGAGCGCGATGCCAGGGCGGACGAATGACCAGTGTCGGGACCGGTGGATCGAGCGGCAAAATGCGGCAAGTGTCTGGATGGAGGACGACGATCGACGACTGATGGAGCTCGTGGACCAGTTTGGAATCCTGGGGCGGTGGAAGACGATAGCGAGCGAAATGGGCGGGGGGAGGATTGACGCGAATTGTCGGTCGAGGTATAACAAGATCAAGCCGACGCCTCTATCTGGAACCACAGAAGAAAGGCAAAGCAAAGGAAAAGGAAAGCAATCCTGTCTGGAAGCAGCCTCCTACGTATGCGCTTAGTGCCCCAGTTTCAGCGGCAGCTCCTTCAGCTGGGCCTGTGTTAACTACATGGGCACTTAATCCACGTACGAGGGGCAACCAGGGCGTTCCGAATCCAGCTCCGCGCGCATGGCCAAACGCGGTTCCTCCTCAACCGCCACCGTTTGACTCTGGGCCATCAGCACCTCCATCGGCTCCTGTAGACTCTGATGCCATGAACGTTGACCCTGTGATTCCTCAACAAAATCCAGAATTAAGAAGACAAGGGAAGGATGCTAACGACGATGTGATGGATGTGGATTCCGAGACTGCACCTAAGTCCAAACCAAGGAGAAGGCCGAAGAAAACTCAGAATACTGAAGTAGATGTTTCTGCGACTGCTGAAAAGGGCCTGAGAAGAAGCGCGAGAGGCAAGGGCAAGGAAAGTAGCTAATGCATTTATTAATTGTTCTTTACCAATCAAATATGTGACGTCATGAATATATATTGAGGATTGGCAGAATGGGCGTTGGCGCTATGGTGTAGTGGCAGCACATGGGATTTTGATGATAGGTTGGAATGCTATTGAATTGTTCCCACAACCCAGGTTCGAACCCTGGTAGTGCCTTAAGTTCTACTGGCCTGCCTGTTCTTTTTTTCGCAATCAACCCATAAACGATCGAACTTCATCAAAGTGTCAAACTCGAGCTTGAGCCTTAAAGCCTGAAATCTTGAAGTCTTGAATCTTGATTCTTGAACGTTTGAACTTTTAAATTGATTCAATATTCAGAGATAATAAGAGAGGCGTATTTTTGTGCACCAAATACTTCTTTGGAACATTCTCGAGTGGTTGCAACACCCTTGGTATTGAAGAATACAATTTGGCTAACTGCGCACATCAAGGCCCGACTCTCCACCGCTTCCTTGGATGGGCACTGCTCTGCCAATTCACAATATGTCCTAGTAGCTGCGCGTCCTCCTGGCCCTGACCCGAGGCATCCTCTGTAGAGAGCATAAGGTTGCGCAGGGACTCTTGCACGAGCCCCGCCGTCTTGAGCTTCTTCTCGAGCGAAGGCAAAGCTGCCTTTTTCGGCGGAGACACGGGGGTCTGATGGTATGTGTGTTTCGGGGGAAGGTCAGGGAACGAAGTCGGGAGGTTGCGCAGCGTGAAGGGAACAGACGACGCCGGGTCTTCGTCGTCCGACGAGAGGAGCTCTGGGGAGGGAGAGCGCGAGGGCGGGGGTATCAGTGTGGGGAGCGGCGCCGTGTTTCTCTTCCGGGTCTGGGCACGGAGACCCTTCATGTCGAGCTCGTAGTCCTTGCAGGCGAGCATCAGGTCGGTCGCGACGGCGCCGGCGCGGTTGGCAAGGTTGGCGTACTCGTGGGCGCGGTGGTAGAGGGCCTCGACGATGGCGACGACCTCGTGCTCGAGCCGGTCGACGGCGGCGGGCTCGGCGGCATCGAAGCCGGCGCGTTTGAGCTCTGCGGAGACGAGGCGCTGTGTGGCTTCGGAGGCGGCGGCGGGGGACACGGCGGGCGGGACGGGGGACGGCGGGGACGGCTCTGGCTGTAGCGGGGGCGCGGCTGCTGCGGCTGTGTACGGATAGTAGGCGGGGTAGGCGGCATTGTAGACGGAGTATGGATTTACAGGCACCGGTGCTGGGATCATCGTGGTCAAGGGTAAAGTCCCAAAATAGACTTACTCACTTGATGACTGCCCGTCCCACTGCCCTCTTCCAGACAGACAGCTTTCGCAACAGCCGTCCCCTCGTCGTCGGGCCCGACCAGCCAGAGTCTCCGCTTCCTGTCCTGCTGAGTGGCGCAGTGCAGCGGGGATTTGGACGGGGCGGCAAGGACCTAAACTGCCCCACAGGTGATAGTGCTGCCTTCTGTCGCCTCTGTCGCTGATGCTTCGCAGCGAACCTCCCCGATGAAGCGATAGAGGCGATTAGCTCAGTGGCCCAGCCGGGTGTGTACTACGGCTACGCCCAAGTCCCAGACGCACCGTCAAATAAGGTATGGCCCATGGTCATGAGTCTCGGCTGGAATCCGTTCTACAAGAATGAGCGTCTCACTGCTGTGCGTCTTATCCGGTCCCTGCTACGTCGCACTCACCGTCCAGCAGGAGATCCACGTCATGCACGAGTACACCGCCGACTTTTACGGCATGGAGCTTAGAGCCGTCGTCCTTGGATATATACGCCCCGAGTTGGACTTTACCACCATGGGTGCGCTTACTTACACACACCGTTCTTCATGATCGCTCACTCCTTATCAGAGGCACTGATAGAAACTATAGAGACTGATAAACAAGTAGCCCTAAACTCGTTGGATCGGGAGGCTTACAAGACTTTTGCAACCCATCCTCATTTTGTGTTTAAAGAATAGAATATATAGACAAGTCGCTTCGTGAAAGAATAAATTTACATGCGTTCGCTCTATTCTCTTCCCTTCTCCGCAGCTGGCGGTGGCGGAGGATTATTACCATACAAGGCTGACATTAATATCGGAATATAACTATCGACCAAGACCCCATCTTCACTTCTTCGGACTCCAAGAGCGGTGGTCGAGACGTAGCACCATCTCGTTATCCTCCCTATGCGCCGCGAGCTGCTCAAAAACGCTGATATCCTTTGGCAAATTCGGGGGTAGCAGCAGCAAGATAGATAGGGACCCTTGTTGGGTCGTCGTTCTAAAAGCAGCATCGCTCGAGCCATACTCTCTCTCAAAACCTCTTGTAGAGTATGATAACGGAATACTTTCTTGACATTAGGAGGCATGTGAAAGGTCCTATGAGAACATTAATTGCATGGTGTGTATTAATGTTGGGGGTAAAGGGAAAAGAGCGAAGGTTGTTCTTCAAGATTCGACTCCGGGATAAAGGGGTTTCAGTTTCAGTACCAGACAGGCAGTCTTGACCGGATGGGATTTCGCCCAAAATAGTCGTTCTGTAATATGGTAGGCAGCCTAGGGAAGTTCTGTGATGAGTGGCATTGTTTTCGTAGTATAGGACTCGCAATCATACGTCAAGCCCGTCGGTCCTCGTCAACCTGGTATCATCGGAGTGTACATACCAAAATTCCCGCGAGTTATACACCCAGTAGCCTATTTGATTTGACCTTGAAGCCTTTTTAGAGCAGAGATACAATGCGTCAGGTTATAGTGTGCTTGAATGATACGGATGTCGCTAATCTATCTGAAAATGACCAGTTAAGCAGATGCACACCCCATAGTTCCAACGACAGCTGGATATGCCTATGCAACATTCCAAATAGCGCTCAGATTACGATGCTTGGCTCTACGGGCTTGACGATCAAGACGGTGAACAGCTGAGAGAAACGAAAAAAAAAAAAATCACGACTGCGCCAAGGAAATTTTTGTTCACAGACAAGGACAGTGCCAAACGACGCGAGATAATCCAGAAGAACACCATTGGACGCGAAGGGAAGCGTGAAACATAGATATCCGGACACGACAAGAGGCAACCCGGTTTCGCCCGCTCCCACCAATAAGCAGCTTCCCATTCGTCAAGGGATTCCAATTCTCTTCCAAGTTCAATTCCCAGTTGAAATAACGCGGTGGTTGATTTTAATTTCGAGGAACAGGGAAGAATCTACTCTTCAGCTTCAACGTATTTATGACGAATATCCTTCCATTGTTTCTACGTCGGGTTGAGCACACGCAACGGAGAAAGTCAAAAAAGCGAGGACGTACTCCCTTGTTCCAACGGTCATAGAAAGAATCCAGGGCTGTATCGAACCCAATACCGAATCCGAATGCGCCAGCAAAGATAGTTGCGACGTATACGCCTATCGGGGTCAGCCTCGAGGAACAGCCAAGGGCAATCGAGACCTACTGTTGCGCTTGAAGAAGGTATTATACAGCGTAGCCGAGAACTGTTCCAAGGCAGGTTAATGGCCAATTATCGCGAGGAAGAAGGCAAAGACATACCGACATGGTGGTAAAGGTAAAGAGTGAGTTACCTAATCGGGAATTTTCATGTTTGCTCTGCGCCGTATACTACCACGAGCAGCGCTGCAGACCCGCTCAGCTGGTGGCGCGGCACACACGATAGGCTCCGTCATCAGCGAGCTCAATGCCGACCTTGCCGCCACGTCCAGATCTGCGCCGCCCGCCCCCTCCGCCATCGACCCAAGCCAGCCGCCCGCCGCCCCTTCCAACGAAGAAAAACCGGCGACACCGCTCGACCCCGTGGACCGCCGCAACTGGCCTGTCTACCGCCTGCACTGCCAGGCCACCCCCAACAACACCCTTCTCACCTTCACCGAGCCAAACGGCTGCGTCAAAGCATGGGCCTCTTCAGGCTCGTGTGGATTCAAAAATACGCGAAGAGGGTCGCCCGAGGGCGCGTACGCTGCGTCTGTGAAGATTTTTGAGAAGATCCAGGCGGTGACGGAGGGCAAGGAGTTTTATGTGCATATGTTTCTGAAGGGCTTTGGGTTGGGCCGGAACACGCTTGTGCAGACGCTGGCGAGCACGGAAGGTGAGGCGGTGAGGAGGAGAGTGTTGTATCTCACGGACCGGACTCCGATAAAGATTGGAGGAACGAGGGCGAAGAAGATGAGACGCATATAGGTCTGTTATTTAGCGCTTAGCAGGTAATTCCACATCGTACTCTTTGTTTCGCTACTTATGCATATGAAACTAGAGTCCAGTAATCTTAAAGTTGGAATAGCAGAGCTCAATTTGTTACCGAGTTTGTGGGAGGCCACACATTCAATCCACGTGATGCCAATAGCCCAACTGGACTATGTTCTCTACCAAACACGTCCGACTCATCCTCAGCTCTTTATCTCATTTCTTTGTATCCCACTTTGAAGAATGTGTTACAGGACTGGCTAACGTCCTCGTTGAACTAGACGGCAACCTAGAGCATTAGTGCTGGGGGTCCTAAAGTAGGTTGCTTCTATTCTTCTTAATGCAACATCATATCTCATATCTCAAAATGCTAGTTCATTCCCCAGTTCTCTGACGCATAAGCGATTCCATGGAGGAAGTCGCCCAAAAATTTCGACCAAATCAAGCCAGATGTCAATGGTATGTCTATAGCGCTTAGTGTGCGGTTTCATCCAGGTCTCCAGGTTCTCCCCCAGCAATAAACAGTTTCTCGATCTCTAAAGGATTGCACTCCATTGTCCAACTTACCCCCAGCTGAAAGATCTCAACTGGAGGGGCGCGCGATCGTCCTAACATCCTCATACCTTCGACCCTAATCGAACAATTTGTATCGTTCCGAGGCAGAACAGAAACTGGATGGTGTAGACTTGTCCTCCACTGAGCGACGTTGATCTAATACTATTTGGAAGACTAAGCTTCAGACTACATTTTCACCCACTTGACGGCGCATCCAACGACGACCTTACTGACTGTCCAGGCAGTAAGCGCCTTTTTTTCCACTCCAGAGTGGCATTCAACACTATCATTCGTTACTGCACACAATGCCCAATCTGTACGGATGTCGTTTGACTCAGCTTCCTCCGGCTCGCTAGTGTCATATTCGCTCCGAGTCACAGTTCATATACCTGCACAATACTCTCTTGAAAAAGCAATTCCTCGTCCGTCAATTCCTCGCTCAGTTCTTCCCCACCGCTCCAGGGGGGGACACCC